ATGGTATATAGCCTTCAGCATGAAGCAAGCCTGCCCTGGAACCTGGCCCTGCAGTCAATCAGCTGTGAGACCCTGAGGAGGTCGCTCACTGTCCGTGAGACTCAGTGTGTTACCCTGCAAAGTGGGGATAACAGTGGCCCTCTCACCAGGCTGTATGGGGACTCAAGGTGTCTGCACAGCCCTGGGGCAGCAAATGGCATAGGTGGGCTGCAGGGCAGACCAGCTCCCTCCCTTGAGCTCTGGCTTCTGTGCCAAGTACCAAGGTGGGGTGGATGGCTTTGCAGAGGTTTTCTGACTCAGTTCTCTGGGCAGCGTGACCCGCTGGCCTAAAATCACACTTCTGAAATGGCCCCCCTCAGGCCTTCCCTCCCAGTGCCTTATGATGGGGAGATGTCACCCTGGAGCCTGCAGACGCCTTTGTTTTCCACGGAGCAGGGCGCCTAGACCAGGATCTCTAGCACAGCAACAAATCAGAACACAAAATAAAAAGTATCCTTTCCTCTTTAGCAACAGAAAAGAGAAAAACCTAACCAAAATCTGATTTCTGAGGAGTAAGATTTAAGTCTTTTAGGCAAAATCTATCTCTCAAAATTCAGCTGGCTAGAGCCTAGAGGAAGACTACGAATTGTCACATGCATCCTTAGTCTGTGAGCACTGCTTCTGGCCTCTGCTTGTGTCCTCAGTGGTGGAAAGACCCAGGTTGGGGAGCTGAGCCTATGCCACAGGGCCCTGCCAGAGCTAGATATGGGAGGCGAAAGCCAGGCCTCTGCTGCCTGTGTCTGGGATGCTGGTATTTTCAGAGAAAACACAGTAACCTCCGTGAGTGCTCTGAGGATGACAGGGGAGCAGACACTGGCTTCCTCTGGCTCTGCTAATGGGCTCCTCCCTTCCTCCTGGGGTGGCAGGGTTCCCTGCTGCACCCCCCCGTCCCTGGTGTTCAGCTGCTGTACCTCCATCATACACTGTCCTTAACAGACAGGCGGGGCAGCCTCCCCCTACTCGACCCCAAGAGAGTTAAGAAACACCTACGGCACATACAGCCATGTTGGGTTGAGGCTCGACAGAGGCCCTACAATGGGCCCTGAGGCCGGGAGATGCCAAAGCACAATGCTGCTGGTCAGAGCACCTGTTGTCAATGCCCTGCTTTGATCTTAGGCTCTAATTTAATTAAGAAAGCACAACTTAGTGGATGTGCTGCCCTCTAAGTTAATCTTGAGCAGAACAAGATGAAGCCGAAGATGTGTGTGTGCAGTTTAGCATATGCTGAATACAGGACTATTAGGAAGTTGTTGAACATTTCAAATCAACGTGACTATAAAATGTTGACGTGTCTAATAGAGATCAGTTTCTTTCCTCGTGGATGTGGACTTGCAGAAATCCAAACCTGATCTCATTCATGAATCAAGCTTAGAGCTGATCAACCCATATTTTCAAAACAGAAGCACAGTTAAGGAAATGCCTGCTTTACTGGCCAGCTCTTTTCTGAACCCGGGGCTCTCTCAAGGGGATCCAATCTGCTGACAGACACTTCGAGTGCCCCTCACACATGCAGCACGTGGGTGCCCAGGAGGCTTTGGGGAACGGCTACACATCAGCTCTGGCCTTTCCCCCCAAACTGGCTGCCATGGGTGAAGGAGCTCACACGTACCCCGAGAGTCGTGTTCTGCTTGTTGTAGCCGGCATAGTTAAGGATGCTCTCGGTGGCCAAGGCCAGTCCTGTGTGCTGAGACAGTCCTGACATCCAGTTCTGATGTTTGTTCAGATATTCCTGAAATAGGAAAAAATACTGTTTTACTTTAAAGGTTAAAAATAACACTTCACAAACTGAGGTGTGAGGAAGTGGAGCAAACACTGGTTCTAGTGCTGGGTCCACCCCCTCCCAGCTCCTGTGGGACCTTCAGTGAGAGCCTCTCTCTGATTCGCTGCTGCCCCCATGTGAATGAGGATGAAGCTGGTCCCCAGAGCAGCCGGCACATAGAAAACCTGAGAGGACTGTTGATTCCTTAGCACATCCTTGGAAGCACTTGCCATTTGCCAGTGCTGGAGAAACAGTGGCAGAGCTCTGGTCCTGCTGTGGGCACATGGGCAGTTCTACTGCTGCAGCAGCCCTGCTCGAGGGGCAGTGTGCCAGACAGCAGGAAGGCAGAGTGAGTGCCTGAGTCTGCCTGGCCAACTGGTGGAAGGGGGCACAGAGGCAGAGGCACACCTGGCAGAGCCTGGAGGTGTGAGGGGGGGGGCTCCTGCTCTGGGGACTCCTGGGGTTAGCACTGCACAAGGGGCATGACAGCAGGGGGCAAGCCCAAGCCAGAGATAGGCCAGGTCCAAAAGGCCTTGTGTGCCAGGTGAAGGAGTTTAGGGAGCACCACATAATTCCCCTCAGGAAAATGCACACAGGCATCTACACACAAAAGTGCACCAATGTTTTTGGAGGGTTCCTAGGGGCCCAGAAGCCCAATCATGGACCCCATGGTGATGGGGAGTGGCTAATAAACACATGTAGCAGAGAGGTACTGAGCCGATTGCTACTGAAACTGGGGTAGAGTGGAGGGCAGCATGGAAGACGGCTCAGGGCTGGCTGAGGCTGTAGGCAGGAAGCCCAGGCAGGAAAGGGACAGTGAGGCCGGCAGTGAGGGCAGGACAGCTGATGGGGCGGGGGTTTAGACAGACTGAATGTGCAGGGGGAAAGGATACAGAGGGCCTGAGGTGACACCTAGTGAAAATATCAAGACCATGTCAGGCCTTCTCATTTTTCACTTCCTTCTTGGGCCAGGCCTGAGAAAATAAACAGCTCTCTCTATTGACCCCTTTTTTGTCCACCAAACCCTTTCAGGAATGAAAGGGGGCTTCCCCTCCTTAGACTGCAGCTTTAGGAGCTAAGGCCCCTCGCTACTATGTGAACCAAAAGAGATCAGACATTTCCCCCTATGAACAGTTTGAGGAATTACCACAGTCTGTAGAAAACCAGTATATATACTAGATAGCTACAAGTCGTCAAGTTCCAGGCATAGTTTAGTTACAAGGCCCAGCGTTGTCCAGCTTAGCTGGTAAGCCTGCCCAATGCAAGGCTCTTTTTCATTCCCCTAGTATTTCCATCCTCACTGTTCCAACATGTTTGTGGAAAGGGGAACTTTACAGTGATCCTAGGCACAACCCATGGGTTCTTGCAAAATGCATTTCCAAAAAGCCCGCAAGGGCCTTGGAGCTAGCTGCTCTACTCTCCCTGGATTCCACACCCAGAAACTCTTTGGAACTAGCTTTATCTTGACAAGTGTTGCTGAGATCAACTTCACAAGCTCCTCTTGACACACACCTGCTTTTTGTGAAGCCAAATTTCTTCTAGTGCCATTTTTCTTATCTTTGATCCCTTTTAAGGTGACTGTTTCCTCCCACGCACTGTGGCATTTTTGTTCCATCTCTGCTTGACCGTCTTCAGAGCAGTGGCTCACCGTGTAGCGATGCTCACTTACAAACCACTACTTTGGTCTGAAAGGACTCCTGTGCAGTTACACATGCAGTCCAGATGGAGCTCTAATGGGCACGAGTCCTGACTCTGCCTCCGTTTCAGGATTCTCAGTCTAGTCCCTGCACTCCGCTCTGGAAGCTGCTGCCAGTCTGCCAGGCCTCCCAGACCACCATGCCGCCCTTGCCCATCTCACAAGCAGCTCTAAGTACTGCCATAGACCGACACCTTGTCTGGTGTGAGTGGTCGGGTTCCCTGGGCCCACCTGCCCACGGATCCCACCACACCTGTGCTCCTCACCCCCAATTTGTACACTTACCCCTCAAGGTGCCCCTGCACAGGTCAGCTTCCAAGGTTTCTATTACTCTCAGGCACTAGACTAATGTTTTTGGCATGTTTATTCACACTAGTGCTGTTTGTATTGAGTTTGTGCAAAGCTCTTTGGATGGTTTGAAAGAGCTTAACAAGATTGCTTTTTGATGATTTCAAGAAAGTACCTGTAGGTGGGACTTGGTGACCGTAGGCGCCCACTTCATCGCCTCCTGTAGGATCATTCCACAGCGTGCAGCGAAGTCCTTCACAATGCTCTGGAAGAAGGTGTGATCAACCCGAGGTCAGTGTATCTGGGCTGTCAGAGGATGGCCACCAGCATACTGTGGATACTTATGTGGTGGCCTAATTGTGTCCCCCCAAGTCCATGTGAGGAAGTTCTAACCCCCAGCACCTCAAAATGTGACTATATTTGGAGATAGGGTCTTTAAAAAGGTGATTAAGTTAAAATGGGGTCAGTAGGGTGGGCTCTAATTCAATAGGACTGATGTCCTTATAAGAAGAACAGATGAAGACAAGGTCATGTACAGAGGGAGGAGCATGTGAAGACACAGGGAGGAGACAGCCACCTACAAGCCAAGGAGAGAGGCTTCAGAAAAAACCAACGCTGCCAACACCTTGACCTCAGACTTCTAGCCTCCAGAAACGTGTGAAAATACATTTCTGTTGTTTAAGCCACCAGTCTGTCGTACTTTGTTACAGTAGCCAGCACACTAATACAGGGGCTATGTTCTAACACCAAGGCTCCTGGGTACAGGGTGCCCACATACATCCCGGTCTGTAATTCTTGCATAAGGTGGTGTGACAGAGCCCACACTCATAGCGCATCACACAGCCACTGTGAAACGTATGTCCTGAGTCAGTAACTGCAGGGGAAGGAAGGTCCAGGGAGGTAAAAGCCATCATAAGGGCCTCATCACTGTGTGGGGAACTCCCTGTAGGCAGCTGGTTTGGGGGTCCCTGAAGTTGGGACATGACCAGCCCTAGGACGGGGGAGTTCTGGCCTGAGCTGGGCTTCAATGTCATAGTGAGGGCTCAGAGTCAGACCTGGCATGGCACATCTTCCTAATCTGGAGTTTTTTTACTGTCATTTCCTGCAGCACAGCACAAAGCCGAGGTCATATTACTCTGCTCCCACAATAACAAAGAAAGCCAGCATACCTCAAAGCAGTGAAGCTCGCCTCAAAGTCATGCTTGCTCATGTAGCTTTGAGATNGACTGCTGGAATAAGCAAGCTGCAGAACTCTTGGTGGGAGGTGAGCCCCCTACTCAGACCAGGCAACTGGCAAAATTTTAGGGACCTCTGAAATGGCTAGGCTAGCTTCTGTGTTTTATGCATGAGGAAACGGGGGCCCAGAGAGGTGAGGTGACTTGTCAGGCTGAGATAAACTGTGGTGTGGTGGACAAATGCCCTCATGGTGGTCAGATGTGGTTCCCAATTCCGCTCTCCCTGTGTGACTAGGGAGCCTCAGTTTCGTTATCTGTAAAATTGGAATAATAGCACATACACCTCACAAACGGTCCCAGATAACGCATGGTACTTTGAATGTTTGCTACCACTTAATAAAAAAAATTTAAAAAGCCAGAAAAACAGAATGCATCAGTGTAGCCAGTATGGTAATTGTCATAAATGCTCCAGACTGTGCTGATTGTCCCAGGGCCCCACACCTTCAAGTCCCCCTTAAATGAGTGAGTTCCACATTCACCAGACCCCTCGTTCACTTTCCATTGGGAAGGAGGTGACTGGCATCAGAACAAGAGGACATTTTGAAGGGCCTCGGACACAGGCACAGGGACAGGGGAAGTACCTCGCCCGCATAACGGTTGCGCAGATTCAGGGACGCCATGAAGTTGGAGTAATCTTTCTTCACACAGGCTGGGCGCTCGGTGAGCTGAGTTGCCTACAGGCAAATATCAATAATTACTTCAGACTGTCCCAACATGTCTTCCTCATGTTTACCATGGCTAATCCTAAGTCCAATTAAGAAGTTCAGTTCAGTTCCAGGGGTTATTAAAAATCTTCAGTGCTGGCATGTTAAGGAAATGACATACTTAAGAACAGCCTCTAGTCTGGTGTGTCCCATAGAAAAAAGATTTTTAGACAAAATTTTAGTCTGAAAAATTTCTCTGCAAGGCAGCTTATAGTTTGGCTTCCATCTGCCGTCCTGACTAATTTCATCCTGAGTGGTGAACAAGGCCTTTCCAAACTGCTGTGAAAATCATTGTGATCTGTAACGGAAATGCTGTGAAGTTAATACTCATGGGACGTCCCTTCTGTGGGTGGGGCTGGTATGTGAACATGATTTGAAGATGGTAGAGGGTGGCTGAAGTTGAGAG